GGTCTAGATTTAATTTTGGTAAGTGATATTTATCCGGAAAGTTGTCTGTTTCCTTTATGTTTTCCAATTTTGTGGAATACAGGTTTTCAAAATATGACCTGATGATCCTCTGTATTTCCTCCACGTCTGTTGTTATGTCCCCCTTTTTATTTCTGATTTTGTTAATTTGGATATTCTCTGCCTTTTGGTTAGTTTGGATAAAGGTTTGTCTATCTTGTTGACAACTCTTTATCTCATTGATTTTTTTTATTGTTTTCTTTGTTTCTATTTTGTTGATTTCAGCTCTCAATTTGATTATTTCCTGCCGTCTAGTTCTCTTAGGTGAGTTTGCTTCTTTTTGTTTTAAAGTTTTCAAATGTTCTGTTAATTCATTAGTGTGGAATTTTTCCAGCTTCTTTATGTAGGCTTTTAGTGCTTTGAACTTTCCTCTTAACACTGCTTTCATTGAGTCCCATAAATTTGAATATGTTGTGTGGTCATTTTCATTGAATTTTAGGAAGTCTTTAATTTTTCCCTTTATTTCTTTCTCGACTCATTGATGATTCAGGCAAGCATTGCTGATATCTTCCAATTTTTTGTTTGTTTTTTTCTCCATTTCTTTAAGGTAATATCTCATTTTATCTTTAAGAATTTCAAACATTCTCTTGAGGTTATTTTTTAGATCATTTTCTTCTGGTTAATCCATATTTGGTTGTTCAGGTCTTGCTGTTGTAGGGTCTTTAGGTTTTACTGGTGTTGTGTTGCTCTTTGTGGTGTAGCATGTGTTCTTACCTTTTCTGCTCATCTTTTCCTCTAATAGATGTGGTTGGGGCTGTCTGAGATTCTGTTGAATAATCTTCTAGGTGCCAGTGAATCCAAAGCTCAGATGGTTGATCCTTGTGGTACAGTCAGTGTCACAGTTCTAGTTACCCTGTTGGTTACTCCTGTTCCTGGAGGTAGCTCAGTGCTCCTATGCTTTGGTCTACTCCCTTGGGGAGTTTGCTGTCTCAGGCCTACTTTGGCCTAGGTTGCTGGCTTTGATCTGTTTCTGTAAATCCTGGTCTGGATCTCCTCCTGCAGAAGCACCTGTTGTCGTGGAGATCACTGTCTCTGGATCTGGTCGCTGGCTCAGTCCTGATCTGCCATTGTTTTGGGACTGGCTTCTGCTTCTGGTGGAGCTTGTTCTGTCTGTGCCCTAGGTAGCTGGTTCAGTCCCACTCCGGTTCTGGTAGAGATCGCAGACTCTGAGTCAGGTTGTTAGGTCAATCCTGGTCTGCCATTGTCCCAGGACTGGGTTGGCTCCCAGGACTGGATTTTCTCCTCAATTTTTTATTTTTTTGAGACAGGGTTTCTCTGCATATCATTGGCTGTGTTAGAACTCACTCTGTAGGCCTGGGTGCCCTTGAACTCACAGAAATCTGCCTGCCTCTGCTTACTAAGTGCTGGGCTTAATGGTATGTGCCATGGCACCCAACTACTCTCTTTCTTCTTATTTTTAAAGAACTTTTCTCTATCTATTTTCTTTTTTCTCCCAAGCCTGTGTGTGTGTATGTATGTATGTGTGTGTGTGTGTGTGTGTGTGTGTGTAT